GCTCTTGTAACGTTTTTTCTCGCTCCCGCTTTACGAAACGAATCGGTGGCGAGCGGCTGTTGAGACCACACGGCAGAACTAGCATGACCTGTGATTGCTTGAACTGCCGTCAGACTGCACTTGAACGCTCCGCAAAATGCGTCATCGGACGAACGTCGCAGAACGGCGCCCAGAACAGCCTCTCGGCTCCGCCGCACACGAATCTTTCTCACCCTGCGGAGCAAGCCATAGGTTTTGAACAACGTACGCTCTTTTTAATTAACGAAATAACACCGACCAGAAGCATCGTTAGAATCAAGCATAGCTTAGCAAGCACATGGTACACGACAAAGTTTCAAAACAGCGACGCAGTTCGCAAAAACAGAAGTGCTCACCGGCGTTTGCAGCAGTGTTGATGGACTGTCCGCAACTTGCGTTGGTAAGACGCAGCGTCTCCCAGCTCTCAGTCATCCCTTGCTACGCTTGAACACGTTATTCTTAAGGAAGATATCTAAAATATCGGCTAAAACGTAAAAAGGAAGCGATCCTCGAAGCCTGCCTAACTTCCAACGGCTGCCAACGGTAGCTGAGTGCAATAGCGATGGGCCTTGCGCAGTCTTCAAAAAGATCTTCTTTATTTTTTTTTTTTGAAAACAAAACTAAGCAAATAAGTATTATATTACTATTAATAGTGTCACTATAATGTTGCAGAAAGTTAACAAAAATTTAGCCTATCTTAGGTTTTATCTAAGTTTTAGGTTTTCTTTTTAAACACGAAACCGAAACTATAGCTCAAGCACGTTTCGTTCGTCGTATTCATTTCCGTGCGTGCGTGCGTGTGTGCGTGCATGCTCCCGTGCTCGTGTGCGCGTGTGGATACGTCCGCGTGGTTGTTTGTGCGTGCGTCTGCGTCTGCGTGCGTTTGCGCGTGTACATGCTTGCGTACGCGCGTGCGCGCGTGTATGTGTGTGTGCGCGCGCGCAAGCATATCTGTTTATGCATTCTATTGAACTACGCTAGCAAGAAGGACAATAGACCGATCTCACCAAGCGTTCCACGCATGCGTGACGCCGCCATAGCAGTAGTTTGTAGGAGGCAGACGCCAATTCACGAGATAGCTCATGCCGCCTCGTGCTCTGCTCGCGCAGACCTATAGCAGGGTTGTCGCGTGTGCAGAAAGACTACAGCTCCCACGATGCATGTCGGCAGCGGTGGCGTACTCAAACTAGCTGTGGGATCGGTCTATTGAATATCCCTGGGCACTGCAAAAAACAATAAATGATTTTATTTTTATTGTTATTATTGAACTATGCCAGCGTGAAATCCAGTGATTCTTCCTTAACTCTGCAGTAAATACTAGTTGATTGGTTGATTGATTGATTGAGCTTTATTTTTGCTGGTCGTAATTTGAAATAGATGCCGATCGGATTTTCGGAGTATACAGATTTTGGTTGATTAGCCATAAATAAAAATAAAATGAATAAAAAAATATACTGTGGTTCATCAACTCATTTAATGTACGCTGAGCCTAGTTATATAAACTGAAGACGACATACAAATATCTATCGCTTTCTTTTTTTTTTCTAAATTATGCTGTTAAAAATAAAGAACACCCTTGACCCAATAACTGAGCACCGTTCCAACACCCTTCCAGCTCTCAGCACCCCTCACAATGAATCGGAAGGGTGCTCGCGCAAAAGCACCCTCGCGCTCGTCGTGAGGGGTGCTAACCCTGCAAGAAATAGGGTGCTAGACGGCTAAGTGAAGGGTGCAAACCCCCTGCAGCACCCCTAAAGGGTGCTGTAGCACCCTTAAAGGGTGTAAAAAAGTTAAGTGTGTACGTTCCACGTTAGTCGAAGTAAGTAACGTAAGTACGTTACCCGTTACTCTTTTCAAAAAAGTAACAAGTACTTTAATACGTTACTGAAAAAGTAACGAGTGCGTTACTACGTTACTGAAAAAGTAACGAGTGCGTTACTACGTTACTGAAAAAAGTAACGCGTTACCGGTAACGTTGTTACTTGTAAGACGCTACCGATAATACTGCAGAACGGGCAGAGCGCGTTACCGCTTTGCATGCCTTGCGGTCGTGAGGGTAGGAAAAATATCATATCTTAACTTGAAGACGCTGTGTGTATTTAATCAATTAATAATTGAATACACTTCAGCAAACCCACTTCTGAAGTGTATTTACACTTCAGCAGCGGGTCCGCTTCTGGCGGGTCTGCTGTTTCCGCCAGAAGTGCAGAAATCGTCTCAAAGCAATCTTAGGCATGCTCGAGAGACTTGTACGCCTGCGCCGTGTCGGCCGTCAACTGGCTTGGCGAAAAAGCTAAATAAACGACGACGTGAACCGTCGACGTCGGTGGCAGCAACTTCGCGTCGGAACTCCAGCCGGCCTTGTATACGGCGTACAGATCATCGCCCACGCACAGTTTGTCTCGATACCGATGTCGTTCAGGCTCGGGTAGCGAGCTTAAATAGTGGGGCATAACGTACGCCATATACCTTTGTGGGAAATACGACCCACAAATAGAGCTCGGAGCATCTCCACTACGCCAACAACGAGCGCACGCCATAGAACGCAATGGCGAAAACACGGAAAGCCTGGCCGCTTCTGCTCACATAGCCTCTGCGCATGCGCGGCCTTCCGGCCGTGTTGGAAAACAGGGCGGTCCCGCGTGTCGCTCTATAGTTAGGTCACGACCGAGGGCCATGTTTGGTACTGTTTGTTTGTTGCATGTTTTGCCGAACATAGCATTGAAAATATTCCACAGCTGGGATAGTGACGTGTGTTCGTCAAACGATTTGCCTAGCGACAACCAGTTCCCTCGAGTGGCTAGGAAACTCCTTTGTCTGGCTAAGAAACTGGATAAGAAATACCTTTCGCAAGCGCCGATAGATGGCCGCCGGGTGCATGTTTTGAGAGGTTAAGCGATAGGTCGCATGGCAATGGCGTGAGGTAACACCTAGTAACCGAATATCGCCGGAGATGTTCCCCTTCGCCAATTTCGGCGCCGCGCAGTGGGGGACGGCGGGTGTATCATTGAGGCGCGTGTTAACCCCCCCCCCCCCCCCCCCCTCTCACGACATTCTGTGGATGGCTCATTTAAAAATATTAACCCACCTTGGTTCACCTGTACACGCCGCTTCGCGGCATCCCGCCGGTGGCCGAAGGACGCTAGCCTCGCTGTCCCCCACTGCACCTCGGTTGCTAGGCCTTACGTCACGCAGTCGCTCTCTATAACCAGCCAATCTTGTGCGGACGCCGTTGCTATGCGTCATATATCACCTAGCCTCTCGAAATGAGCCGCCGGGGTATGGGTGCGCGCTTTGGAAGCTCCTGCCGCCGGCTTTAAAGGCCTGCGGCCGCACTCGGGCTGTGGTTCTGATCTTCAGCCTGCCATGCCGTTCTTGACGCGCAGTAACCGTATAACCGCGCCTTAAGCGCACGATGTCGTCGCCTCTGTGTGCACACCATGTATGCACAACAATGAAATGGCTCTGTCATTTTCCGCGCATCGCGCGCTCGTCCTTCATGCACACGCGGAGTGACCTGATCTGCTTGAACCAGGGAGAAGAGGGTTTCAGGAGTGTTCAGCCCGCGGAAAAGCGCTGAGAGGCTGTATTTGCCATGCGCTCTATATATAACCGTTGCGCGAAATGCAAACGCGTCTCTTCGAGAATCAGCGTGGCGGCAGCAAAGATTTCGGACCATTTTTTTTTACGTGCAACTGGAATCTAAGGTCATCATGCACCACAAGCCTGATAGTGAAACCTGCCACCTGGAGTTGTTTGGCAATGACCCTCATTGACTTGCTGGGTTCGTTGTTCAAAATGTCCTGCACCTGCTGGACAAACTCAGCTGTCCTGACAACGTCTAACCGCTAAAAAATATATGTATGTATACATATATATATATATATATACATTTCTTGGCAACGTATGCCACGTTCTTGTCAGGATCCGAAAGTTGTTGTCTGACCTTGAAAACGAAGGACCTTGATACATTCAAGAATGTGGCTGTATCCAAATCGCTGTGGTCGGCTATCAAGCCAAGCAGGATGGCATACTTTCCCATTGCTTGTGTCAGGCCGCTGCCTTTTTAAAATTGATACACTATAGACATGATATGGATGCACTCGAATGCGAAATCAAGCCACTAGAGTATAGACAGATGTAGTGTAAGTATGAGAAGCTATGCACCCTGGAGTTGTGTCCTCAAATACCCCGCGCACCCTACACCACAGCGCTACCTCGGCCATATTAGTCAGCGCTGGAAATAGAGCGGTCCTTGCTGATTCAGCCCAAACTTCTGGCTATGCGCGAGATACAACGCTGAGACAGCGCTGCGCCAGGGTATACGTTCACTTCAGTGTTGCATAGGCGCTTTTTCTAATGATGATTTAGGCCTGCAGTGTATATGTGAACGGGCCTTAGTCATATTTTCAGAACTTTCACCCATGGACCCCACAGTCGCGCTTGACTTGAACACAAAATAGAAGCAAAATCAAAATTGATACCAAAAACAGTTATGAGATTAAGGCGCAACGAAGATATCCAAATAATGTACAATATTAGACATCGATCTGGTAAATTAATTTAGATTCTGACAACATAAAGGTTGGTAGACATACACATTGCGGCACTGAATAAACGCTATAGAACTGCTCTAATGCAGTGCTGACTTGAACCTACCTCTGTAGTGATGCAGCGACGTATACATATCAGCGCTGTATTACTAATAGTGCGATGTCAGCTCTGTACCAGCAATGTCTGCCGGACTTTCAATCACTGACTAATAGCGGCGAGGTAGTCATATGCGTGCGTGTATAGAACCCTTATAGTGACGCTAAATGACCGCGAGCCGGTATTCGCAGGAGCAAGCTTGTACACTTTTGCGCTAGATGATGTCATACAATTTATCAGTGCTACTTTAATATTCACAGATTTTCACCACATGTATTCTGATATTGACTCTGCCAATGATCAACTGTTGCACAGAGGATGATGAGTCCAACATGTGCAAGACACACGGTGTGGAGGTAAGTATTTGTGCCTTGTCGTCCGAAATGAATGAGCGTGATAGTGTTAAGTGGCCTTCTAATTAGCGTGACCAGACGTTTTGTTCTGGCCAGGACAGTCCCGTTTTGTGATTCCTTTTTACCATCTCGTCATTTTGTCTGAAAGAATATAGCAAAATTCCCGTTTTTGTGGTAACTTGTTTGCGAAATCAGTACCAGGCAAGTGGAAAAAAAAAATTAAAGGAAGATCCATTGGTGGATTCTTAGGGAATGCGTTAGCATAAATGGCCCTCCTTGGGAAACGCCATAGAAGTCCCCCCTTTGAAAAACGCTAACGCTGACACCTTCACTTTTCTGTTTTGACTTTCTCTCTTGGCTTTCTTGTTTTTTATCGCTTCCTCTATATTTTGCTGCCTTCTTTTGGCCTCGTTACGGGGTCGGTGTTAGCGTTTCCCAAACGGGGACGTGTGCGACATTTCCCAAGGTTTCTGCTAGCACATTCCCTAAAAATCCACAAATGGATCTTTCTTTAATTTTAGAGCGCAGCCCTTAGGCGCCCGTTTCCGGCTTGAGCGGCGTCGGCGTCGCCGTCGGCGTAACCGCGACCCCCCCCCCCCCCCCCTTCCCGAGGACCTCGGGAGGACCTGGGGTACCTTCGGTGACCTCGGGGAGGGGGGGGGTCACATGACCCCTCCCTGAGGTCACGTGACCCCCTTCCCCCAAGGTTACGTGACCCCCCCCCCCCCCCCCCGCCGAGGTCACGTGACCCCCCCCCCCCCCTCAGTACCCTTCCCTACTCCTCCTCAAGAGCTGCGCTCTGCGTTACAGGGAGTTGTAAACGGCTTTCACTTTTTTATCCACCCCTTTTTTGTACTGTAGCTGTCAGAGTAGGTCGACGTCCTTGGATTCAGTCATCCATATCACTCGTGGAAAGAACCACATCCATACCACTCGTGGAAGGAACCGTAATCATATCACTCGTGGAGGGAACCGCATCCATCGTTTTAACCACAGATACACATCGCAGCCTGCACACCGCTACTACGGAAACCGAGAGCGAAGAACATCCGGCGACATTTGTTGTGCAACTGAGCACGCCCGCATTCCACCGCGCCGCGGTACCTCCCACTCTCTGGCTCTGCTCCGGCTGTGCGACGCTCCTTTCAACGAAAACAAAAACGCTCGTTTTGACGCAAACCTGGCGGTGTCGGTCAGTTTGTCAGCACCGGGGAGAGAGGGAGACGGTGACACGTGTTGACGTCGTCGCTTTGGACCAATGGGAGCCTCGCGCGCGTCACCCTTTCCCTCACTTTCTCCCTCTCTTACTGGGCTGACAAACTGAAAAACACCGCCAAGTTTTCGTCAAAACGAGCGTTCTAATGCCCATGCATTAAAAATGATTACTCGTGACAGTATATTCTAAGAAACAGTATACAAATTCTATCTCCAATAGAATAAACTTTTTAGTTTTTTCTGTTACTCCAGTTGCCAACAAGTTGAGTTCGCACAGAGAAGTGTTCGGGGCACTTTTCTACACTACTATATTTGGCATGCTTAAGTTTTGCAGAAAGGGTAAGAAACCTGCTTGTGTACTCGACTACACAACGGAAAGCCCCAGAAAAGTGTGCGTTTTTAAGGCGAACTGAATAGTAGCAGAGCCTTTCTTTTCTGCCTCGCTTTACGTTACGCCCGCCTTCGTCCCCCTTTCTCCTTTCCCTCCAACCTACCTTTCCCCTTTATGTCCGGCTTTCAACTCTGAGGAGTTGAAAACGGAAAATTATTTGGCGACTTGTTACTTGGGTTACGGGCTGGGCCAATTTTGAGACAGGTGAGCGGCTATCAAGATTTGGTGTCAAGTAGCAAATGCGTTTAAATGGAGAAGCATTTTGATTGTATTCCACCGCTTTTAAAGCGGTAGCTTTATGGGCGACACTCTCCATAGATTTCGACCTTGTAGGGTGTTGTCGCCGCTACGGGAAAAGCCTTCTCTCCGCTCTTGGCGCCAGGACAGGGAAGTCGGGTTTTTCCCGTCGGCCTCGACGCGACGGAGAGTCTTCCGTGTCGTCTGCTTGAAAGACTTGTTTTCAAACATTACTCGCGTTACGCGAAATCACACTCTGGCAATATCCAGTTGCTACGCGTAACTTTGGAATGTTTTAGAAACTTCTACCGCGCTTACCCACTTCGCGGATGTGGCGGTCGTTAGTGGCATCCATCACGTTAACCACGACGGCTATAAGAATTAACAACGTCGCACCTCCGTCCTCAGGTACGCAAGGGCACCACTTTAATCGCAGTGTGCTACCGTGCTACAACTTTCGCTTTAGTTTCTTCGCTCATTTTGGGCGAAAAATGCGATTTTTGTTTTGATATCTTGTATTTTAAATTATTTTATTGCCTTTACTATGAGAACGGTTATATTGTGTCAGCGGCCATTGGATTTGGTCTTTGAAACACTATGGATATCTCATGCAAAGACGAGCGCTCTTCAATATTCTAATTAGCCTGCTATGTGACACTGGGTGTTACCGGTAGCACGATCAGGCGTTTAAAAAAAACAGCATTCGTTGTGTAATTTATTAATGCCTAAAAAAAGATTTATACAGTCTCGTTTTTATTTCCTTGTGAGTATTTACCCATAATAACGTTCACGTTCTAGTCAAAGCGTTGGCTAATTTAACGTTTATCGAGCAGATGTGTCCTTTATTCAGTGCACGCTCAACATGGACTGCTGTTGCCCCCTGATGTGCGACTGGTGGCTTCGCACCTGCCAAACGCGCTTCAGCATCCCTACCTGGTAAGCGCACAGAAACTGATATCTTCAGACAACAAACCATTTATGGTTTTTGAACAATAGGGAATTTTAGCAAACCGTTACCGTGTTCCGCGTACCGCACAGTAGGAGCTTTTGAAGCTCGTGGGACGAGTGCTCAAAGGGATGCTGAACCGAAATTTGGATTTCGCAAAATAAGGCCGCAGAAGCGTTGAACGGGGCTCTACAAACTCCGAAACATCACTCATACATCGATATCTCAGACGGATGGCCATATTTTCTGAAAAGAAAAACGCGATCGAGCGAGGTCTATGACGTTTTGATCCTCCTGTATCAGTTGAGAATGAAGGGAAGCGGCCCCTTGCTTCTCTTCTCCTCGCTTCGGTTCACTAGCTCGAGGGGACGAAGCGAAGAGGAGAGGGAATGAGAGCCGCGACGTCACACGTCTCGCCGGCCTCATCGGCCGTGTTCGATCGCGCATTTTTCCAAAAATATGGTCCTCTGTTAGAGATATCGCTGTATGAGTGATGTCTTTGGGTTTTGCAGCGTCCTGCTTATCGCTCCAGCCCTGTTTTGTGAGCTCCAAATGTCGGTTCAGTATCCCTTTAAAAAGGCATGCTTCAAGGGCTCCAGTAGAGCAGTACGCGGAATACAGTAACGGTTTGCTAAAAGTCTCTCATGTTAGAAAGAGTACATAATGCGCACTTATACATACAATCGATATACAGTGATGTCTTGTTTATACGGACACTTCTGTTTCCACAAAAAAAAAAAAGCGCGTCTATGATGCGAGTCGTTTATAGTAAAGAGACAAAAAATGCGTGTACTTACCAAGCTGGCCTCCAAAAGTGTATTCCAAATAGCGGAGTAGATATATTAACGGGGTCTGTATTAACAAGACCATTACGGTAACGAAAAACCTTCACTATTCAGCGAGTATTGAAAAACGACAATGACTTTTAGTTCAGGAGAGTTTTTCGTCAGCACGCTGAGTTATAAATACATTGCTCTTGTTTGATAGGGAAAGGCGGACATCAGCAACACTCATCTTTGCCTGCTGGGCTGTGGATCGTGGATCGCGATCCGAGCGTAGCTCACTGCCAGGAAATACGGGACGCCTTGCAAGCGTCCAGGGCCCAGTGACTCGACACTTCTCGCCCGGGTGGCAAGCGCTGGAAAGCTCTATAAGACCTTTGCATCGCTTATCACCCGGGTGAAAAATGCGGAGTCACTGAGTTGTGTACGTATGCACAGCATCGAGCTAGAGGGGCTTAGAGCGATAAACCGGGGTTCCGGTCTGCACTCGAAAGTGACCCCCATAAGACGGCTGCCATTGTACGCAAATTTGACCACTCGTCACGTGACCAAACCAAATACGTGACGTCACAGGAAAGGTGGCAGCGCCCATGCAGCGGCTGGTCCCAGCTGGGCCGGAGCTTGTCGGATGCTTTGTTCGTCGTCGTTCGTGTCGACGAGTTGGTTTCAGACGCGGAAGCCGTCATGAGAGGCCCGTCGAGAGAAATTTCAGAGTTCAGCATGGTGTCTGACGTAGGTATAACGTGAAAATAAGGAGGAACGGTGTGAATTTCGCTGGTGACCGACGGGGATATTGCCACGAAAGAGACAATCGGCCCTACCTTGTCCGGACCTCGGATTGATTCGGATACCGCAAGTAAATTTTAAAGCGACGTTTTTGTGCTCTCATTGCCCATCGGAATCATCGAGGTCTGCAGTGAAGCGTGTGCAATGTATCTGGATACACAGTTTAGCGACGGAAATTGCGTGAGTCGTGCTTGGCAGTGTGCAATCGTGGTGCCGCTTCGTTCAAATGACCGAAGGCTCACTTTGGTTGTGCGGCGCACCGAAGAGCTGCCTCCAAAGCTGGTAGTTCCTGTGCCGTGCTTTAGGTGATGCTGTGCTGCTTCCTAAATTGTTCTGGCGTATACGTGCTCTTTCACGGAGCACAGGTGTTGTAGTTGGTATTGATTCCGCTAGTATGTAGCACGTTTCGTCGACACAAGTTTCATCAACACTCAGTACGTGAATTGCAAGCTGTATGGATATTTCATCGCGCGTTTTACCTACCCAGTCCACCCGTTCACGCCGCTTTGCGACGACAGTCTGCAGCGGCTCATTACCAGGAAAGTGGTTCCACATTAATTTCAGTTCAGTTCGTCCACGGCAGTCGCCAAACCCCGAAGGAGGATTTATTCGGACAGAATGCCACTAAAGCAATGCTGCTTCTTTA